ACATTCATTTGTATTGGAATAAAAAATTAACTTATAAATCAAATATTACGTTTTCTCTGAAAATTTAAATAAGTGGATTGGACGACTGGTAATATCGGCACGATCTCTCTGAAAAGTTTGAAGACTAAATTCAGGAAAAATCAAGAAATGAAGATACATAAATTTTATTAATGAAAACTTTCAACATAGTTTTTTTCCTTCCAACCTTAATGAACTACTCAGAATGTTTTTTCAACAGTTGAAAGCTTTCATCAGCTTCAATCATCTTTCAAAATAGTCTTTAATGCGCTCGTCTTGAAGGCTTATTTTGAAGTCAATTCATCTGGATATCCAAAATGCCATTAAAACAATTAAAACAATTATTTGTGTCAAAGAATGCGATTAATATTGTATTGATTTTGGATTTTCGTCTTCATTTTGCTTCCCCTGAGAGAACCCAGGTTTGAAACAAAATCCCCTTGAGATCAACTTCAGGTTTAAAACCAAAATATTTCAAAATGGCGAATCAGAGTTAGTTAACTCCCAGGTTTGAAACAACATCTGACAACAGCCCCGCTGTTCTATTACGAAAATTTTTACAAGGGAAAATATCTAACAAAACCCACCCAGTGAAAACATCGCACATGTCGAATATGTACTGAAAGGTGCCGTAGTTGCTGGAAAAATAGCAACACTTGTGATGACTCTCCTATCAAAAATTCCATCAACAGAGAGCTTCATTCCAAAGATAGACTTTCCAGCTGAAAATCAAAGAAGTGACAACCGTGATGACAGTGTTATGACTTTATATATGGAACAATACAAATGAATTCCACACATCAGCTTATTGTGTTAAAAAAAATAATATAATATAATTAATATTTTATATTTGTTAAATTTTTGATAACTTAACTGTAATTAATTTATTTTTGAATTGAGAAAAACGTAATTACAGTCCATTAGTTCCGCATTTTTAACTCGGTCATGTCGTCAATATCGGATAATGCAACATTCTGTTTCAAGCCTGACGACAAGTTTGCGCGTAAAGTGCAAAAAAGATTGGCCTCCATGTTTCAATATGCGTAAACGGACCCGTCTATAGCTTCACTCTTACTAATGGCACTGGCAAAAACGAAAACGTTCGTAATGCACAGCCAGACTCATAAAAAGTTATGAGACATAATCACCCGGAGAAAGAAAATTAAATTTAATGTTGGATAATACGATATCGCTTAAATATAAACTCTGGAATATCTTTTATTTTTTCACAAAAATATAACTACAAGAATTTCAATCTATAATAATATTTAAACGTCTACTTTTAATTTAAGAATTGAAACACTGTACTTTAAATTAAAATAAAATTCTCTATAAAACTATAATATTTATAAAACGTGTCTGAAGTGTCGTATTCGATTAAAAGTTATACTGTATCTTTTATTATCGTATAATAAAGTCACAAAATACGTTACAGATTGTGGAATTGCATGTCTCTCAAAAGATTATAGGAATCTTTTTCGATATAAGTTGGCATGGCACCTCCACGTGCTTTCGCATGCAAGTGTTATATCTCACGACAGAATTTAATGAAGTCCTTCCTGCAGGCGAGAGGTAAATTCCGCTTCAGTTTTAACAGCTCGATGAAAATTATTTCTTCGATATTTTATCTCTTTATTTAATAACATAATTAATTTAATATTTTTATTTTTAAACGTCGAACACACTCACGCTCTTCTCTCATCACCATATCAGATATTCAAATGCAAATAGTTATAAAAATACGCATATTCTGTAAATTTTTAAACTTTGTTATAAATTTTGATTTTTAATTCAGAATGATTTTCAAACAAAAAAGTTCAGAAATAATAAAAAATATCATTTATAGAAAAAAATTCATACAATAATTGTATTTAAATATCTCTTTCTTGCGTACGCTGTTAGATATCAAAGAAGCAATACCATACCATAAGTTAAGTTAATCCAATACCATAAGTTAAATATTATAATATTTTGTTATTTTTAACTTTTATATGTAAAATATAATTCAGTCTATTTCTGTGATTAGTTTCAAAGTAAATAACGTGTGTATGCACTTGTAAATAATAAATTAAATTTGAATAAATTAAATTAAATTTAGTGAAATTTAATACATTCTTTTGCATTAATTGTTTAATTCCATTTCGTAGTTAAATTAACGATATATTAAATAGGAGCAGCAGCGAGCTGAAAAAAATGATAAAAAAATAACTCAAATTGCATATAATTTGACATTATAAATTTAACAGTGTATATTCTGAACTTTGAAATTCATCAGAATGTACATTAATAATTAAATACATTGTAACTACTCGTGTAAGAAATTACTAATTATGTCAAACTATTTCGAGAATGCACTTAAAAATGCACGCATAAAAAGTCTACATCCCTCTGTTCTTTGTGAGAATGGAAGCGAGCAAACTTCACAGGTACCACGTGCATTTCCATTCTCAGTACATACATATGCGAATCTACCGAGCCTATAAGCTTGTGCAAATGTGAATACACGCGCGTGTCAATGTGCATAACACTTGGTATTACTGCACATCAGCGGTGCAGCGTGACTGCGCATCCGTTTGCTTAGCCACGACTGTTAATTTCGTCGGCATATTGAGCATATTTGAGCGTGTATACGGTGTCCACCGTCCAACGTTAAATGATTGGCCAATCCGAGAGGTTAAACATTGACTCTGTCGGATGTCCATACAGTTGTTCTTGTCACCTCCTCTCACTTTCTCTCTCACGTTGGCATTACGTACAAAAATGATCGCACAGTAGTTATTATGCATTTACAACAATTATTATTAATATTAAATGATATTCTCGATAAATCCATAAAGAACGAGATTATTTCACTTTCGAATGTCATATGAAAATTCTATATGTAGTTCAGCGTGGTATAAAATAATTCCCGCTGTTAAACGATATTATTCTTGGATCACTTTTTTGCCAGAACGTTAATAAAAACTTCGCAAATGGCAGCAAATCATGAAAGTTCAGATAGAAGGAAAGGAATCTCAACTGTTAAATTACATAAAATTACATATGATCGTCTGTGTGCCTTTTTGTCGCATGCTCTATCCTTTCGAACCGTTGTCGATCCTTTTATTACCTTCTCTGCGATTTCAGAAGCCCTCGAAGAGTTATAATTGCCAACGGGAGAGAGAACGCGGGAAATCGCTGTCTTCGCCGCCCAACATGAGCTTTTTCACAATCGGTGAAACTTATCACTCGTTATTACTCACATTCCACGAGTTGGTCCGTAATTAGACCAGATGCTTCGAGAATTACGACTGTTCGATGTCCAAGAATGCGTCAGAAATGCTCTTTCCGCTCGATCGAAAATCGCTTTAAAGCGTAAATACCAAATATTTGGAATACCGTTATTGTAAAGCATGAAACAGTTTCAAATTCAATTATTAATTCTATGTTATCGCAAAATTAAAGCAAAATATATGTGTTACCAATTTTGTATAATATACAGAAATTGTATAATATTAATATAAAACGCTAAATTTATAAGACACAAATCGCAGTTTATAAGAAACAATATTTTATTATATAACCAGATGAGGAAGTAAACATTAATAAGTGTATTGATCCTTTCTGAATTAAAATTTGATATAAAACAATTTAATTTGCAACATGCATGCATACTATAACGTTTATAGAAATTTCATTAACAAAAGAGTAAATTTATCAAAGTCATTAGCCTCAATTTAAGTTTTGAGTGATTCTCGTAATTAAATCGCGTGCATGCGAATTTTTCTTCTTATCAAATATATCTTCGAATTCATATAATTACACGTTATAATTACATAGTTGCTTTTATATTCACACACGGGATGATGGAGGCTAATTTTCCCGCGAAGTGATAGTCAAATTACGATTGCTAGTAATTTCATATTAAATAGCACGGTGGATTATAACTCGGCAGATGACCGATATTCAAATTGCATGTTAGCTAATTAATCGTATCAGTTGGCAATCTCATCAGACATCTCATTAAATTTGTTCTTTGTAACCGTCATTGGATGTACACGGACATTTTATTCATTAAACTATTAATAACGTACTTACGACTCGAAGGGATCTCGATTTGTTTCGTTCCATTTAAATATATATCAAGTGCAGTTTAAATTTTAAATTCCTCCTTTTAGCTAATGTGCTTTCTCTCTTGAATAAAATAAAGATAGAACTAAAAAATAAAATCAAATGTACTTTGAGAAGAAAATCAGGAATCAATTTTAGTCCAATTGATCTCTAACATTGTTAAATAAATGTTAGTCAAGCTTTTTTTTTAAAGATTACAAAAAAATGTAAATTATTAAAACTAATTTCTCTTTTACTTTTCTCACTTTTTAAATTTTTCATATAAATGCGTTTTATATATATATAAAATTTATTTTCCATTCTTAAAATTTTCAGTATAAAAAAATTAATTTTCCTCATAAATAATATCATTGTACATATAGTATTATAATTTCTTTTACAATTACTCATAAAATTATTTTCATCTTTTGAAACTTTCCGTTGTAAAAAATTTATTTTTTAAAAATAATCACGTATATAACGCCACAAATATCTGTGTTATGAAAAATTACGTGAAACATTATACGTGAAAAAGTCTTGCACACTCTCAAAATTACCTGTCATTCAAATTCCGTCATGCATAGAAGAGAACTTGCCTCGAGCTCGAAAGGTGCATAAACCTTCGACGAGATCCTTCATTTTCTATGGATAAAGAAAATATATCATGTCTTATTCACTGTAAATAGCTTTCAATGTGTAACAGCAATTAAACTGTCATGTATATTTATTAGACAGATTCGAATAAGAGATGCAAACAAAATGTAATGTAATATTTTTCCAAACAAAATATGACAGAATAAATTCACGCGAAAACAACACGAATGTTTACTTTAAAACATTAAGTTATGAAAATATTTTTTCCATACATTAATAAATATTCTATCATTTTTTAGAGCACACCTGCAAAGACTTTCGATGCACTCAGAATGAATTTTGCATCGAGACGGATCTTCTTTGTGACGGCGTGAATCACTGCGGCGACGGATCTGATGAGGCCACTTCCACCCTTTGTGCCAGTAAGTTCTAATTACTACAAATTTATTTTTTCAACTTAATTCTTAGCAATTTTAAGTACACAGAAGATTACATTCAAAATCTTAAAATTTAATCGCGTTGATATTAACCAAATATTAAAAAGATAATTTATATTTTACAATCTTCCTATTTTGCTAAAAGGATCATCGTTAGACATCATTCGTGACGTTTCATTATTGCTTCAAATGCTAATAATTAGCACTATAAATGGTAATAACATACATAGTTAACATGAAATCAATATATTCGTCATCAAGTCATATCATATATCAAGGAACTATGTGTATCTTTTGAGACACGCTATATTTAACGAGTAAAGCGATTTAGATCATAAAGATATAATCTCACATGATTTAGTATGGTTAGTCATGCGGTAGTTTTAAATAACGAAAACATAAAACGTTTCACAAATATTTTATACCACCAAAAGTTAGTCGTACATAATTTTAATTCGAGATAAAATGGTTAAAATGAGATAAATTCGTACAATTCGTAAATCACATTTACAGAAATGGTTTTATAAAACATAGTGTGCGGATGTACGTGTTGTGTGTCGGTAATAATAATTTTATTTATTAAATAAAATAAATTTTGCGTCATTTATAGAGAATCAAATTTAATTCTTTTATAATAGATAAATAAAAATTCAGAGAGTTTTCTCATTTTTTCTCATTTTGTGGATAATTGAACTTGTATATCCAATGATTTATCAAGCGTTTCATAATAGCAAAATGTAATGATTTCCTTTATTTTTATATCTACATGAAAATTGTTATTTATTGTGGAAGAGAAATGGTTGCAAATGCACGCGAAAATTTACATAACATTTATGTTAATAGTTGACAGCACGTGTGCATCAATATCTGAAGAGGTTAAATGCCATATATTCATTATATATCCAAGAGTAACTTGCAATAGCAGCGGAGTAAATTACAGACTTGTCACATAATATTCGCGCTTGCTGGAATTTAGTATATCTACTAATATTTTGTTAATTCATATTCCTGTCACAATTTTCGACTGTAATTAGCAACCATTCGTATAATTCGTAATTATATAATGATAATATCATGTATTTTAATTTTAAATAATTTTTAAATACGAGTGACATAAGACAATAATTTTGCCATAATTCTGTAACAATTTTAAAAATTTTCAGAAATTTTCGGAATTTATTATTTATATATTTTACGTAGTTTTTTCTATCATTTTATGCACCGCACTTTGTGCTTTATAAATAATAAAGCAACCACTATATCATTTACTTTATCATTATCGCAACGATCATTAATTTATTCCAAAATTAACATTGTCCATAAAGATTTTATTACTCGCATTATTTACGGAGCCTTATAAAGGTAAAACATGAAGTATGTATTGTTTATCGATTTCCTGATTCTGATGAAAGTGCACGCGTATCAGGTTAGATACTTTGATGAACGCACTTAATTATCAAGTGTTTGAACTTCAATAAGAATTTTGCTTTATTGTCTTTTACTCTTTTCTTTATCGTCTTTATAGCGTAAGACGCTATTTATTATAAACAAAGAATTTCTATTTTAATAAGAATTAATGAAAATCAAACTGTGCAGATATCCTGTTTTATAAAGTTAATTAAAATTATGGGATGATTATATTATGTTATGTAACTTTTATCATGAAAGTCTCTCACTTGTTTAAATATTTTTTCTGTATTTTTTATAATCATGATTTTAATTTATAAATTAATTAATTTAAACTTTACAGAATTATTATCCTATGTTTCTTCCCTTGTACGTTATTTTTATTATATTTTGATATTTTTATTATATTTCGATTGATTTAAAACGCGTCTATCGTTTAAAAGTTTAACTTTTCTGATTAATTCCATGTTTTTCATTGTAACTACAGATTCCGAGGCGTCGACGATCCTAGGCATGCAGACTACTTGGTTCGCCATCGCCCTTGTTTTTCTGATACTCAGCATGGGCGGCCTGGTAACGGCGGCAGTTCTCTGCTTTTGCAGGCAGCGTGTTCCTACCCCGAGGCATCCCCATAACGCGCACAATGCTCAGTCTCATCCCCCAGTCAGCTTCCCATGTGAGTCACAAAAAACCACCCTTACACGTACACGATCGATTCGCTTCGTTGTCGCTGCTACCACTCGTCGGTTGCAACCTTCCTACTGTTAGCTACTCTACGTTTTCTTTGTGTGTGATTTTACTTTGCGTAATATTACTTCAAAATATGAAAAGAGAACTTTTTCATTCTCTAATTGTCATTACTCTAAACAGCGACATATTCTATAGTGATACGCACGTAAAACATGTAAAAATAACTTTTGTAAGTTGAATGATCAATGTTAATTGCTTTTGTTAACTGCAGAGTCCTAAGTTTTCTAGAATATTTTAATTCAGAATATTTTTATTCAGATATACCGACATGACGATTCTAATTCTTGGGAAACATAATTGTCAATTGCATGAGAAGGCTAATTTCATTAAGAAAATGACTTATTTGTAGACATTTTTAAATATACATAATATACTTAAGAAGAACCAACTTCCTTTTTATCACAAAAAATTATATTTAATTATTTAAAAAATGGAAAGTTCAAACAACTGCAGAAAACAAAATTGAAATGTTCATAAATCATCCTATAAATTATTTTTAAATCATATTTTTCAATCTTTATTACATTCTTTCTCTTTACATCAAATATGTATTTATGGTAATTCTGTTTTCATATAACGCGGACTACATTAATAGTTATAAAATTAATTAATTTTCCTCTGAGAATGTTAGCAAGCGCATTTAGCCGATTTGCTACAAAGTTGCACCCTGCACGGGTCGAGCCAATGATCAAAGGACGCACGCGTTCGCGATTACGGGCATAAAATATTCATTTATTTACACTATCACACGTGCACATCAGAGCACCATTATGTCTCACTATATCATTATATTATGTAGAAAAGAGGTCATAAACGTCAGTACATTATTCCTGACCAGTTCGATATAAAACATTACGTATCTGTGTGTCAGCATGTTCTTCTAAAACATCATTTTATCAGAAGTCGATATCATTTTTCACAAATTAACAACTTATAATGGCATTTCATTGGTACTCGAGTAAAATAGTATTATACAATATTTAGCACAAAATCTAGGGCGTTTTACTTTTTTCTTCGTTTCAATCAAGAATTATATATACTTAACTTTGAATATTTTATTAAAAAGTATATTTTTTTTGTTATATAAATATGGCAGTATTTTTTAATAAATGTCTTTTTGCAAATAAACATTTTAAAAATATTTATTCTATCGATTATGAGTGGAAATTAGATCGACAAGAATAAAGAATAAAGAAGACAAGTAAGAGAAAGCCTTCTATTTTCAGTCAAAACTGATCTTGATGCTTTTTTTATTTGATTTTTTATTCATATCAATTTAATTGCTACTTATTATTTATGCACGTCTCATTAAAAAATGAGACGTTCTTAAATTAATTATTAATTATTATAACAAATATTTTTACTCCGAAAATCAAATTGGTGAAACGCTTGATCCGAATAGTTGAAAAAAAGTTCAAAGTTCAAATTCTGGCTCAAATAATATTTTTAATCAATTCTTGAACTTATTAAACTAAAAGTCAATGTAATTTGCAATATTACACTTCCAATTTTAATTTATGATTGCATTTCAAATCGAATCGGTGCGCGTTTTATATAGAACTGAAAATTATATTTGCAAATCTACTCTCTATAAATATTCTTAAGTTCAAGATAGATTTTGGCAAAAAAAATGAGATTTTTTTTATTTGATGTTATAATAATTTTATTATTGTATAATTAACTATAAACAATACATATAATGTATTGCATCTAAATTCTTGTGTATGTTAATTAATATGTAATATACATTATCTATTAGCATTATTGTGGATCAACAACGAATTACATATAATAACGAAGAATTATTCCGAATTCGGAATTATGACGATATAATTACAATTTACGAAATGTTCCATTATCATGCACTGTCATTTTGTGTTGCGTGCTGATACTCGATTATGCTGATCTCATTCGAACACCCCGTATGTAGTGTTTACTTTTCATTTGATTGCGTAGCGGTTTACCTCGTACTTCTGCACGTCATCTCATTCTATGACAACGATTCTAATTAATTAATTTAATTAGATTTGACAGATGCATTTGAATCCGCATCTGTCAATCAAATATTCGCGGTTGACCATTAAATTCATTTGCGGACAGAAGATGAAATAACACTCGCGATTATTCAAAATATTTCTCGACTTCATTATTTACATAATTTAACTATGTTAAATTCTTGTTACACATCAAATAAGTTTCTTGAAATAATTTTTTTTACTATCGGCCAGTCTCCAATTAAATATATATACACTTCCTATTATAAACCATTAAAAACAAACTAAATATAAAAAAAAAGTTAAAAAAGTATGCGGCTTTTCTTTGAAAATCTTTTATTTTTACTATATAATCTTCAAATTTTTCTTTCCCACGAAAATTTATTACGGAATTAGTACTAAATACTAACGATTATTCACAAGATACAAATGCAGAGAACAGTAATCTTTATGCTTCATAAAATATAATCAGATTTGTGTTCTCTGTTTATGCATATGTGATTTATATATTTTAATAACATGTTTTCACAATATAAATTAATCTTGCAGCGAATCGCGTCATTATTATCGATATTTTATCTTTTTAGCCGCGCTTGATGTCTTACATTTTTTTCTATATATAAACTCTTTCAGTGTAAAGACTGTTCCTTCTTTATCTTCACGTAAGCACGTCTTTTTAAATATATGATACAAAATAAATATGTAATGGGAACAAACATCTCATGATGCGAATTCATGACATTGCTACATAATCTTGCAATCTTTCGATACAGAACAAAGCCGGCCTAAATATCTGCGGTCAGCGCTGAATTAATCAGAAACCATCGACGCGATTGAATCCCACTCGCTACTATAATTAAGCAGTGAGATGATCGATAGACCATTGCGATATATATTCCACCACTTACAACGGCGTCCATTATTTATTTACGCGTAACTGCTATTGCATATCGGCGGCTGCGACGGCACAACAAAATTAGAGAGCATAGAGGCAGATGTAAAAAAAAAAGGAAAAACCTGAACAAAACGAGCATTGGTGTTTTCATTAAGCGATCGAACGCTATACCACCGTTTGGTCCACTCGCGTTCGTTTTATAATATCGTTTGGCTTTCTGCGATTTCAATCGGCTAGCATTTCCAGCGCGGTATCGCGATGTTTGCCGCAATTCCATTCGGTGTATCGCTGTTATTTTTTGGCCCCACGGTAATCGATAGCAAATAGCGCGTGCCTCGCGGCTTGTTCGTCCCGTTTGTTTATTGCTATTACTAACTGCGAGAATCGAGAAAGAGAATGAAGAGAAAGAGAGAGAGAGAGAGAGAGAGAGAGAGAGAGAGAGAGAGAATGGAAGGGAGAGAATGAGAACGAGAGTGGAACTCGCACTCGCGTTTAAATTAGTTTAATATACGAGTCGAGAGTCTATACATCTCTGCCTCTCTCTGGCTGCGTCGCGTTGGAAATTCGATTATCCGAAACAAACGGTAGACGAGCAGACAGATAATTAATTCCTGGAGAAATACGCGTTTTCGGCTGATTAATGGAACAACGTCTATCTCCACAAGTGTAGTTTTGCACACAAGTAGTACGAACCGGTACCTTAAGTGATATATTTTCGGCGGATTATTGACGCACAGACTATCGACGATGGTACCATAACGCATGTTAAATAGAATCCAAAATAAGTACCTGAACGCGAATGAACAGTTTGTTTCACTGACAATGAGTGACGGCGTTATTCGCATCAAAGTAAATTCATTCGCATTTGTTTGCGTTTAATTGCTCGATCTAAATCTGGTTTTGCACGGAGAGAATTATCTTTTAAAATTTACTCAGAAAATATGATAGTTGTAGTACAATATAATATTTTAGAGATTTTTACCACGTACTTCAGTAAAATTAATCAAATTTATTTTACATTTTATTGTAGTTTTATTAATGAATAAGAGAAATTTACATAAAATTCTTCAAAATATAATGTCCCAGAATCATATTTTCAGGGTAAACTGTAAGAAAAAATTTTCTCCGTATAAATAATTTGTCTTTTATATGCTCATTGATCGAAATTAAATCGACACCTAAAGAAAGTAATTTAAAACAATTTTTTAAACTTTGATATTCTATCTATAAAACGCAATAAAACATTTTCATTTGTTACATTTAGTCTTCGTAAATGGCAAGTATCACATGCATTTTAAAATTCTATTTCAAATTATTTAAATTTATATTTAAATAAGATAATCAAATCTATGATTAAGCAATTTATCAATTTGTGTTATAAATATTATATTTCCTTACATCTTAATAAAATTTGTTTGATCAGTACTTTTACCTGCTTTTTTGCGAATTGCTAATTTGGTTTTAATTGATATTAAAATAAAATTAAATTTCTCTGATAATTTTTGTATTAGAAATAGGAAAAATAGAAATGTTTCACGTTATACGAATAATTGAAAAATATTTTTAGAGTTTCAAATTTTCTTAAGAATTTTTTTACAACTTTAAGAGTTCTATTGAAAAGAGTATGATTCTAATCATGATTTATAACAAAACATTAATAATTTTTATATAAGATTATATACAATTAACTGTATGTAAAATTAATATATATATTTATAGTTTTATAAATTAATTATATATAGATTATATATAATGTATATAAGATTATATGTATATGTAAGACTATATAGATAATTTTTCTAACGAAAACATAAAACTAGTAATAATTTTCGAATCATTTTATGTATTTTATATATTTAAAATTCTGAAATTTTTGGAAAAGGGCTAAAATTCTATCAATTATATCGAAATTCTAAAAATAGAGTGGTATTTTCACATAGATGAAAGCGAAACTGTGTAAGCAAAGAAGACTGCTGCTACGTCGTCATCCCGATTTAATGGAGCGCGTCGGCCTGATAACACAATCGTCGCTTGCGT